TCAATGGATACCACAAGACAAGAACAACTTGAACCTGCAATTGAAACTACCCAGGAGTTTGCCCACCTTCTGGATTGAGTCCTGGCAAGACTCAGATCTGGAAGAGTCAGCGGGGAAAATGCACGCCAGCGATACACCCGTCCTTTGGAGAATCGCTGGGAGCTGTGGAAGCTGTCGAATCCAACAAAGGTCTGCTGGATCTGGCCATGTTGGCATTTTCAGCATTCAGCTTTGAAGGTTTTTCAGTCAGATGCATCACAAGTTCAGCTGCACAAGGAAAAACTACAAAAAGTAACATTTTATTCGGGCTTCTGGAGCCTCCAGGGGGCTCTTCGATATGATAGGCAATTGGTTTAATGACCGTTGATGTGGTGGCAAATGATCCTTGTTACTATTGGCTCTGATTGGTCTTCTTGTTCGTCTGATTGGCTCTGTGGTGACATGTAGCCATGGAGCCGTTCAGCCAAGGAGCGAATCTGAACTGTCCGTCTCGCAGTGCGGAGAGTCCTGCAAGTGAATCTTGTGAAATCTCTTCATCCCACGTCGCGGAACACCTTATTACCCGCCACGGAAACGGCATACCGCCTAGGGTCAAGTACATGATGGTGGCTACGGTGGCTTTGCCCAAGCTGGAGCGAGAAAAAGGTGATCAAAAAGATCCCGAAGTGGAAATGGATGAAGCTCCGGAAGGTGACTTGTTCAGTCGCCAAGCTGAAGCTGGAGAAGACGAAGTTGAAGAAAATCAAGGAGGTGATCACAAGGCTGCTGAAGAGCTCAATCAAAAATGGTTGGAGCATGCCAAAAGGCTGGCAGAGCCAGTGGGAGTGCAGCCAGCAGAGCTCTCTGCTCCCTGCAATATGGAGATCAACTGTCACAGCGTCTTCGGGAAGAGCACTGGGGATGGAAAAACCAGCTGATGGAAGAGCTCAGAAGTGTAGCAGTTGGTGAGGATGAAGGGGGGCTGCATGGCTACACCTTGGAGTTTTTGGAGAGCCAGATCACCACTTTGGAGGATGAGCTGGTGGAGTTGGATCGTTCGGAGAATGTGGCTCGTTTGAAGTCACTGGTGGCCAATAGCCAGCAAGGTGGCCAAGATCAACCTGATGGGCCGCCTGCCACTGTTTTACAAACCTACACCGTGCCATTGCAGCAGGTGAGGAAAGAGCTGGACCTGTGGAAACAGCCCTTACTGGCAGAATACAAAAGCCTCTTGGACACGGGTGCTATCCAGGTGACCAACGAAGAAGAAGTGAAACGGCATCCCAACTATGCCAACTTGGAGAGAGCGCCGGCCATGTTGGTGCCGACGATAAAAGCTCCAAGTGGGCGTCGAAAGGCTCGTATAGTTATCTGTGGCAACAGGATCGAGAAGGCCGATGGGGGTCAACAGAGCGTCGAGGTGGAGAAGTCGTCGCCATTTTCAACCCATGCTGGTGGAGCGGATGGCACTCTCCTGCGATGTTTGACCAGGAAAGCAGCTGCAGAGGACTGGACGGTGGCATCTCTGGATGTGGCCACAGCTTTCCTACTTGCCCCTCGCCGAGCTGCCTCCCAATGCCTCTTGATCATGAAGCCGCCTCGCATTCTGATTGAGGCCGGAATCTGTGATGAAGGCGACCTATGGCGCATCGAAAATGCGTTGTATGGACTTCAATCGTCCCCAGCAGATTGGTCCAGTTACCGCAACAATGTTCTGGGTAAGCTTCGATGGATGTTTGGAACCGAGGAGTTCCATTTGGTGAGAACTTCGGAGCAGAATCTCTGGAAGATTCTACCCACCAAGGAGCCGATCAACAAGGAAGACGTGGCTCAGGGCTATGTAGCTCTCTACGTGGATGACGTGATGGCCGTGGGAAACCAAGGCTTGGTCGACAGCTTTCTGGCGAAGATCAGGAGGTCTGGAAATGCTCCAAGCCGGAGTATGTCTCCACGGTGCTTGGATGAAGTTTTGTGGATTTGAGATTTCAAGGCAGGATGGTGCCCTGGTACTCTCTCAACGGTCCTACGTGAAAGATGTCTTGGGCCGCTACTCCAACTTGTCGCCGAAGACGACACCTCTTCCTGCCTTGCTGGATGAGGAAAAGGAAGAGAACATCCAGGTCTCGGACATTCGGGCCGCACAGACCATTGTCGGCGAACTTTTGTGGGCCTCTTGCAGAACCCGCCCGGATTTGAGTTTTGCTGTGGCCTGGTTGGGCCGGAACGTGTCAAAGTGCCCATGTCGGGTTCTGACATACAGCAGACATACCCTGGGGTATCTGCTGAATACTCCAGAGCTTTGCCTGAAGTATGGAAAATGTGAAGGTGGGTTTGGGGAAGACAACTCTTTGGCATTCCCTCGAAGTATGAGGACCCTGGAAGTCTACAGTGATGCCGCTTTGGGTTCCAACTGCCAGCGAGGACATCAGGGCCTCATCGCCTTGTATGGGGGTTCTCCGGTGCAGTGGGACTCTCGCTTGCAGCCTTTCGCAGTTCTCTCAACGACCGAGTCAGAGTTGGTTGGGTACTGTGATGGTATGGTGCTGGGCGAGTCAGTATCCACCATTGTGGAAATTTTGGAGGAGAACCAGGTGGCCTTGTCTGGAGATAAGGTTCTTTACGGAGATAGCCTTTCAGGGCTCAAGCTGCTGGAGTCCCCAGACGGTCCATGGAGGACAAGGCACCTTCGGCTTCGCAGCCATGTGCTACGGGAGCGGATGCAGTGGGGGCTCTGGAAGGGCAGACATGTACCTGGGAGCGAGCTGGCAGCTGAATTGCTCACGAAATCAATTTCGACGGCTACGCTCTGGGAGAAGTTCTACAAGTTTATGGGACTGGTGGATGGAGCTTCAGAGAAGGAAGAGCACTTGGAAGGGTCGGGGGGAGCTTTGGTGGCTTCAAAAATGAAGGTCGCAGCTCTCACTGCAGTAGTTGCTCTTGGGACGGTGTTGAAATGTTGCCATCTTTCTGACATGGAACGGTTGGCTACCACCTTGGGAATAACGGCCTTGGTAGCCTGGGTGGCGCATCAAATGAACTCCGAAAGGAACGCCGTGAAGGCGCAGGCCATTGAAAAAGGGTGCCTGAGAGAAACCGAGCTCAGACCAATTCAGGTCGATGCGAAGGTCGATGAACCCGCACTGGCCGCATTGGACACTGCAGCCAACGGTTGCACCGAGGGATCCTCGGTGATCCCGCGCCTCAGCGCTTTGAGGGCTGATTTGACGTATGGCCCCAGGCCATGGGAGGCTCCGGAATTCAACCAACCGCCGCACGCGGCAAATGATGATTTGTGGATCACCATGGGCGGGGGCTGGGTGGTGAGGATTCATCGCTCTTTTCGGAGCCGACTCTTCCATCCAGTACACCGAAGCTGCCCAGTTCGCACCGAGGACCTTGAAGCGCAACGGGTCTCGGTCATATGGTGGTCAGGGGTTCACGGCTGGGAAAGGAGTGCCCAGCATGACAACTGGTACCTTGGACAGGTACCTCCACAACCGCCGGTGTCCGGCCAATGGAGGGGTTGGACCTTCTTCCGTTTGAGAGAAAGCTCACAGGGCGGTGGAAGCTCCTCTCAACAGCCTCGGATCCAACCAGACACACTTGTCTGGACTCCAGAAGAAGATGGCAGGAACATGCCTCGGCAGTTTGGGGTTTCGAGCTCGAGCTGTCGTCGGACCTTTGTGGAGTCGGGCGATGGAGCACATAGCCGAGGTCCAGGTAACCCGGTAAGACGGGGGCATCCCACAGCCGCAGAAAGGGGTGCTGCCGCCAGGGCATCAATCAATACCATTACCAATCGCTACGGACACGCTGGATCCACTGTCTCTGGATCGGCGTCATCTGACGGGAGCTGGTCTGTAGCTGGAACCCATGGTGGTGGCCGTGGCCCGAGCTTGGGGTGGAGGCCTCCGACAACTTCGAGCCCTGGAGGTTCGTTTTCTCCGCCCAGCTCCACGGCATTAGGGGCTGCTTCATGGAATCCAGGAGGGCCATCGTCAGGGTCCAGGCCTCCGCTCGGTGGAAAGGGTAGCTACGGCAGCATTCCACCTGGAAGCTCGGTGTTGATGAGGCCTGGGGGGCCCGTCAACCGGTGGTCAAATGGACCAACTATGTCAATTCGGGAGGGCGAGTCGGTAAACGATGCCACTTTGCGAGCACTTCAGGCTCCCCTTCCACCTCCCTTGCGCCCTCACGAACCCCGGAACACAGAGGGCGAGATATCTGAGATCAAGCAGATCCAGTGTCAGCGATGCAGAGCTTTGGGATTTTCTCCATGGCGCCACGATTGGCGATGGGGACTCAGAGAGAGTATGATGAAGCTGTGGAATCCGAAAACCCCTCTGACGATTTCTCCCTGGTGACAGACCAACCCGAAGGTGGTGGTGATCACGTGGCTTCGCCGGAGAACGAAGAGGAGGACATGTAGGGCCGCAGTGATGGGACAGAGTTTTTACTGTCCATTTTTTGGCCGTTGGATTTCTCACCTCCGGATGCTGTCAAACAGCATGGGGGAGTGTGGTGAGATGTCTGTTTTTTCACAAGGATGACACGCACAAATCAAGAAGTGTCTCCATGGAATCATTAGAAGGCCAGCATGGCCCCTTGTTCAAGGATGACATGCACAAAACCTTTTGTGCTTGCTTTTGTTCATGGCTCAAGAAAACTTAGCTGCTGGGCGCTGGCGGCTAACCTGGTTTCGCACCAACAAATCCATCAGCAATAGTGTTCCCATTTAGGCCCATTTAGGTCCAAACAGCTTACTTTCACCATTCAGAACAGAATGGCTGGGAACAGATTGGATCTATTGGCGCTCAGCGCTCAGCGCTCATTTCCACCGATCTGGATAGAAAAAAACGACCAATCACCGACTGGCCATTCTTGCCCAAAACTTCAGTCTGTTTTCGCTTTTCGAAAGTCAGCCATTCAGCTGCAAGGTTCACAAAAAGTTACCGAGCTTTCCGCCATGAAAAATCCCATCTCCCATCAACTTTCCCCAATGGACCCCAATCGACCCCGGCCGTGTTCACATACATCGCCAGGCGTTTCAGCAGAGCCTGAGCACATTTTCCAAATGATTTGTTGGTTTGTTGAGTATATCCACAAAACATATGGTATTTTGCAGTATCCAACTATATATGGTTGTCCACATATTGATCATACAGGGATAGGATAATAGCTGAAGACGAGTTGGATAGATAATCGATTTTGATACATTTCACAGTGTCATATCTGTAAATTTGAGCCACTCCCATGGTACTTGGCCCAATGGAATCCGCCTCGCGGCTCCCAGTGCTGGGCATCTGCAAATCCTCACAGGCCTAGCGAACTGTGGACCGTTGCAGTTGATTTAAGCACATTAAGTCTGATTAAGTTCGTTAGTTGGTGAGATAGTTACAAATCAACCATTGATTTATACATTTAACTATCAGTTGAGATAGTTCACGATAGCTGGTTTTGACTACCCTGAATCTCAGACTGATGCTATTTGAACTAATCTTCATGTTGATTTTTGCTATCTGAACATATCTGAACTATCTCAGACCAATAGTCAACTGTAATGATACTGCTTCAATCCAGCTCGGGTTTCAATCGTTTTGGAAACTCAAAATTTGCCCGAGAGTCCAATTGGGACACCAGTTTTGTGTCGCTGACAGGGCGGATCTGCAGATCTTATGGTCAACTTCCCATTGGATCAATCTGAACCGCAGCAACCATCCCAAGCCCAACGGCGCTCGAGCGCGCCTTCCGCAGTTCGGCTAAGGGCATCACATCAATGCTGCCACCTGGACGAAACCAAAATCGAACTATTTCTGCGCAATTTTCCAGCCATGTTTGACAAGGTATCCCCAATCTTTTTCGATCTCTCTCTATGTGTATATACCCTCTGGTAATTTAACATAGCTATTGAAAATGGTCATTTATAGTGGATTTACCCATAAAAAACGGTGATTTTCCATGGCTATGTTAGTTTACCGGAGGGTACTGTATATAATGTCACTTGATGCGGTCACCAGAGTAGATTTGCCCGCCCTTTTTGATGGTGAATCCCACGGCTCCCGCCTCTCTGGCTCGCTGCCAGGGTATCCTAGCCATGGCATGGATGGAATCTCCACTGGCTTTGTCAAAGAGGGTACCCCCAAATTAGATGGTGATCTTAGTTAACATGGCTGGTATCCCCCAAACGAATCCATATTTTGATCTTGTTTCGTACTGAGAGTGTCCTACATCAGAATGAGGTGAAGTGTGAAACCTAGCGTCATGAAGTGCGTGACTAGCCGGTAGAATCAGCATACTCAACCAGGAACCACAGCGGCCAACTTCTGGATCACCCAAAGAAAACTCTACACGGCCAGTCTTGGTTGACCTGCACACAATACAGTTGTTAGCTGGTTAGGTTACTATGTCCCCATTTATTCGTATCTATATCTATATCCATAGGTAAATATGTTGATCGCACAAAGTCAGTAAAGTCACTAAAAACATCATTCAGGTCACATTTCAGTCATTTCTCACTCGCACCTCCACTTCCTTCACGGAGTGCCTGGGGCATCCCGTTGATGTCAATTGAAAAATCCATTGAAACTCAGGTCTTATCCCAAAGAAACCGGGGAAAACTGGGGAATGGTGGCTGTCACAAAAACGCCATTGTCAAGTGACATAGAAAAAACAGGGGGTATGGTCATTCAACCCTCATGGGATTACGTCGATGTATAACGGGTATATGAATTCCAACATGTGGATTGATGACTATCCCCTTCTATGGGACAATAAACAATATGAGACCATGATACATATCATGGAAAGAACGATTTCAATGGCGTAACATGTGAATTTCAAACGCTGCATCTAGGATTTTATCGATGACGCAGCCCATCTTTGGAGACACTTTGGTGGATGGGACTAACCCAAAACAAATAGAGACTGTAGAGATACAACCATTGGAAGCATCCGCACTTGTTGCCTTCCAGAAACACGGTAGAAACACAGGATTGAAGGGTGCCTTTGAGGCACACTTTCAAAGTGCATCTCGAACAAAATAGAGGATCACTCAGCTGAACATGTCTTGATTTCGTGGTGTGAATCCATCTGCACAGCAAGATCTCTCTCTCTCTCTATATATATATCATATTCTCGCGGCTCATTTGCACTAAATTGTCTTGTGACAGGGTGATATTCAGTCACATATTGTTGGTTCAAAATTATCTACCCACCAGTTATTCAAAACACTAAGTCGCCTTATGCTATACCCATCTGTGGCCATCCTTACAATCTTTTTTTGAAATAGGATATCATATCCTTGGTTGCTTCGACTTTTTTGGAAGGTCAATCCATCACTTGCTGGATTAGTCACATTTTTCGCGTTTCCCAAAGTGGGATACCCCAAAAGAATTGCAACATTTCGCAGCAAAATGGCGTTTTGAACATTTTTCGACCAACTTCGGGATATTCCATGATATTCCCCATTTTCTTCGAATCCATATAGAGCTGGTCCCTCTCCGCCGACGCCTTGGCGATGGCACTTCCTGTCCTGGCCGAAGATCATGCCAGGATTCAGACGATTTTTGTGGATGATTTGGGGATCCCCTGCAAACATAGAGTTTAGTTACAGGAAAATCAAATCCCAGCAGACCTTTTGGGGCAACTCTCCACACTTGCCTAGGCACCCAGAAGAACTTGTCGAATTTCTAGTGGATATTCTAGTGGAATATCAACAAAATCTCACATCAAAGTTGCAAAACCATTCGCTTTGTCCCAGCAAACAATCGCCATAGATGGCATACCCAACCCTTCACTCGGGAGTTTGGCAGGCAAATGCCCAATCATTGTTGATCAATGTCAGCAGCCTGGCATGTTTCAGTTCATATCTATCCCTTTACCGGGCATGATCTACCAGTGCTTAAACTACTGCTTGGTGGTTTCTTTGAAATATATGATTATATGTGTCATTTAATCGATTAGGGCGGGACAAGATGCTTGAAACCACCAACAAGACTTACGATCTGAGCAGTGCTCAAGACCCACAAGGAGGGAACTGTTACTCTAATCGAATCAACGACCCAACAGGCCAATAACCCCTACCAAGAATAACCCTTACTGCACAGGGTATGACAGCCCCAATTCGAAAAAACACAGGGTTTCGGTTCCTGCTCATTTCACCCGCAGCCAATCCGTATCCGTCCTGCGTTCGCCTTTGCCGGCTTCGCCGGCTTTGCCTTGGCTTTGGCGTTGGCTCTCTGCAACCTCTTCAAGATTTCCGCCTGGCGATGGTGGATCCAGTGGTGACTGGTGTTGAGCAGACATGGGTTTCTACTAGGACAATGGAAGTGTGATTGGCAGATTAGCCCAGATTTTCTTTGTAGAGTCATCAGCCAGAGGAAAATTATGGTGCCCTATTTTCAGAGCCCATGTCCAGAAAATCCTCACGGCATCCTGTGGCAGAATGTCACTTGGGGCGCAAACCGCGTTGCTGATTCGTGCAAAATCAGACCTTTGCCAATTCGCACTGCGTGGTGAATTTTTGATGGTTTAACAAATGAAAATGTCAGAGTTTTCAGTAAGTCAAGTCCTCCAATTTCCGTTTCCCCAAAATTGGATCACCTCATCTTTGTTGGATCGGCCGGGTGAATGTATCGAGATTTGGTACCCGTTGGTTATATAAATGCTTAGACTCTTGGATCATATCTGTTTGTCAAAACCGCATGTTTCTTAATTAGTCAAACCTAGTATTTGCTCATGAAACGCTCATTTCACAATTCCTAGTCAAACTTTTCTCATTTGCAACAGCCACAAATAATACTCCCTCAAAATTAGTGCCTTAGTCACAGCAATTACGTTTGATCCTTGAAAATCCCCTGGCGTCATTTGATGAACCCTCCATGTTGGGTGCTAAAAAAACAACTGGATTTTTTGCAGCACCCGCTGCAAAAACCCCCAGAAATTCACTGGTGAACTGCTCAGTTTCTGGCGTTTTCCCAAAGATTTCATCAAACAAGACATATTCCGCAGCATTTCAAGTGACTTTTGGCAACCAGCAATCCATATTTGCTGAGAAATACCTGCATTCTTTATCAGCAAGCACCATCATTCAAGGATCATGTTTGAAGATTGATATCCCCATGCGATTATAGTTAATTTCACTGGTTAATACCCTAAGATAACCATAAACCAACCATCATTTGCACACTAAATCCTCGTAATCTCCAACATGCATGCTCAATTTTCAATGACCACTTTTGAAACCAATCAGTCATTCTTGATCAGTACAGAAGCAGTTATTGATTCATACCCAATGTCAAAAGATTGGGAATTACATTTTTCACAGAAATCATCAAGGAATGGCACACAAATCCACATCTGAACTGATTCCGTTGCTGGAAAACGATGTCAAAACCGCATTTTAAAAGGCGCCATCCTGTTGATCTTCCCGACCTGGAAAGGATGGTTTTAACCATTCGCAACACGGTCGGTGATCCTGATCATAAACCGACAAAAATATGGGGATATTGTCGTGAAAAGCAAGGAATACAACCCACCCATGATGGAATATCACCTAGCATTTTGTTTGTAACACCATCATTTCCCACTGAAATCCAATTTTTTGGAATTCTTTAAGTCTTTAGGGAAAACCCATGATGAATCTAGGGGGCAATGCCATAATTGGGTACTTGGAATAATGGTATGTTGACTGTCATCCCCAATGATGACTTTAGAATGACGCCACTACCAATCGAGTTGTCCAGTTATCAAGAAGTAGTGTTGATTAATCCCATGTGTACGAACAACAATGGTGAATATCATGGATCATTCTGGGGTATATCCCCACATCATGGCGTTCCAATATTGGGTTGTCCATTCTGTTGCCAACCCACTTTTCTTCATGGCCACAAGCATTTTGAACGTCTAACAAATCACCATAGTTTCCCCCAAGATGGTCATCTACAAAAAGTGATACCGATCTTGACCCCAAAGATACCTTTCTTTGATCCCACTATATCATAGCTTTCAGTGAATATACACAATTTTTAATGGGTAAATCAACTATAAATGGCAGTTTTCAATAGCATTATAGTGCCGGACATATACTTAGAACATTGGTTTTGGAATTCCAAAACATGTTCTAAGTAGAGATCCCGGACCACTACTTAGAACATATATGTTCACGGGATGTTCTAAGTAGAGGTTTTGGGGGTTCCCCCATGTTCTAAGTAAGAATCTCCCCAGCTATCTACGTGCATTTTTGGAAAATCCTGTGTATATATAATATATTTTTAATATTGTATCTGAGGGGTCTCGTGCCGCTTCATGCATACCAATCACCTCAGTGAGGCTGGTAATCCGGTTGGATGGAGTTATACTCGGTATTAACTGCCATCGCAACCAATTCAGAGCCATATGGCTCGATGTCACTGCTAAAGTGCTCTGATGCGGCGGCACATTTGGTCACCAAGGCTGTCAGGGCAATTGCAAAGCTCCTGTTCAGCGCCTCAGGATATTCTTTTGCCGCCGCCGTTTTGTATTGCCCGCTGGAGTTCTTCCCGATGAGGAGACCTTCAGGACGTTGTACGGAATCCAACTGGCACTGCTGTAGAGCTGCTGGTAGCGGAGCATTAGCGTACATCAGTGTCGTTGGTTTGATACCAACTGAACTGAGCCAAACCGCCAAAAAAAAAAAAAATAATATTGTAGTTGTCCGGCACTATATATTCATATAATAAAAACTTTCCAAACCTGATGTTCGAATTGTAGCCTCTCACCTAGAGCATATGTCCCGCTGTAGGATCTCGAATCTCGAATCTCGTCCCGCTGTAGGCTTTGGACCATTCCAACCGCTCAATCGGTCATATAATTTCAATATACCTCAATATAGTCATCTCCATGTATCTTAACGCAACATCACACCACCTGTATATATAATATAAATATGCAGTGTTAAGTTGTATGTATGTATACATATACATATATTTACATGTATATATGATGGCATGTTCTAAGTAGAGGATCCTCATATGTTCTAAGTCACTTAGAACATACGTCCCCCTATTCGCCGAAAATGTTCTAAGTAGAGCGCGCGTACCCACCGAAAAATTTCCAAAACGATGTTCTAAGTAGTTGTCCGGCGCTATATAAGCTATGGATCCATACTTTATAGATCCCATAGTTTCCTCCATATCTTTGGGTAGTGGCTATCTCGCCTTCTTGCCGCTGGCGCGCACACCTCGCTGCTTTGCCAGCGCCACCAGCTCCTCAGCCGGGGATTTGAACGGGTGTCATATGGGGATTTGAACAGCAACTGGGGATTTTGAAAGATATATACCCTCTGGTAAACGTTTACAGTTTGCGATTGAAAATGGCTTTTTTTATAGTTGATTTACCCATGGAAAATGGTGTTTTTCCATAGTTATGTAAATGTTTACCAGAGAGTAAATGAGATTTTTACGAAGCAACATGAGGCTCTGACAAACACAGGGGGATTTTGATAAACAATGGGGTTTTCATCAACAGGTAATGAAGATACAAACTCAGAAGAAACTGCCATCTACCTCTTGTGCTGGGAGTCAAGCATGGGAACCCAAGCATAGAATGATTGATTAGTACCATCGACCTGGATATTTTTCTTAATAAACCCCACAGTGACTTGTTAGGCCATGAACTTACCATAACTCAAGCATCTTGAATGGTTTCCCCCAACACTATCATGTCAGATTTCTCGCCAAGGTCCTTGTAGCTCATTGCCTTCAATTCCTGCAGAATGCTTGGATTACCCCAGAAGTTTTTCTCTGGAAATTTCAAGGGTAGAATGGATGGTGTTTCACCCTGTGGCTAGGGCACATGGGTGCCCACAGCGTGTCAAAAGATCTAGCGACTTCGTTTCAAGGTGGAACCTGAAGGATTCAACAAATCGTAGTGCATCACTCTGCAACTCTGCAATTCAATGGAACCCCCAAAAAATTGGGTTTACCAATCTTCCCATCACATGTAGCAACTCTTGGATTTCCTTTTTTGCCCTACAGAATTTTTGATGTTTATGGATTTTTGCAAGTTATATCTTGCACTTCCTAGCTGGGGCTTACTGGGGTTTTCACTGAAAACAAAGCCCAAAATGTGGTTTATGACACTTTTCCTTGAAAAAATGCCATAAATAAATATTGCTGGTTGTATTTCCATGTATTTCCCATCAATATCCATGAGCTATATTCCATTCTTTACCCCGTATGGTGTACAAACGGGACCCCCGCCTTCGCAGGCGGGTCGGCCACTTCCTCAAGGATTTCATGGGGCCACAGCTTCAACTTGTTGGGGCACTGACCCGTTTTTGGGTTTGGCTTCCACATGCATGGCAAATTTCTGAGATCCGTGCTGCAGCTACTTCATTGCCTTCCACCTGTGGCTAAACTCTGGTGCAACCCCACATGTGGTTGAACATGGGTAATCCTCCAGAGCCTGGGTACCCTTTGGTAAACTAACATAGCTATTGAAAATTGCGATTTGTAGTTGATTTACCCAGCTACAAAATGTTGATTTTTCATAGTTATGTAAACGTTTACCAGAGGGTATGCCTTGGTCATCCCCAAAAAAATATGAAGAACATGGAAACACCGTGGACTATGCCTGGGTATGACCTTCATCTTGGAGCATCTGTTTGTCCAAATCCACATCGACAACAATTGCCAGCGCTTGATTGCCGTTCTGGATACAAATGGTCACGTTCCAGTCCCAAAGATCTTGTGTCTTTCACCAGAAGGTTTTCCAGTCACGCGCCTCAGTCTCTGCCATGGCTGGTGTTTCTGGCTCCTGAACAGGGCTCTGGGGCTTCTTTTGAATGAGGGATCCCCATGTTTCCAAAACGACGCTTTAAAGAAACAAGCAGTTGGGGCGATTGGAGCGCCTCTGCACCTGCAGCAATCTCTTTCGTCATCTTCTCCTTAGAAAAGGCCATGCGGAAAAAGCACAGGTCGAGACATTGAAATGTGGGAAACAGAACGCCAACAAAGGTTGGCTATCTTTGGTCATTCATCAAATGCATTGAAGTCTGAAAGCGGCACAAATAGGTGGAAAAGTCCAACTTTTACATGATTGCATTCAAACTTTGATTCCCGTGCAACAAACCATCGGCAGAACCACGTATTTTTTAGATGTAAAAGGAAAGCATTTTTTTCCTCCAGCATTTCAACTGATTTCAACCACCAATGGCCATGACTGAGACTCCTGGCCACCATAGGTGCCTCTTCCAGAGCTTCAAAGACCTCGATGATCAAACCCGTGGTTCCATCGGCTGACAAGGACATCTTCCCCTGTTTTGTTCCAGGAATGAATGCTTCCAAGCAAGAAGGAAAATCTCGAAAAACAATGACTTTTCCAGGCTATGGAAGGATTCCACTTTTGAAGATCCCTACAATATCTCTACTTTAAAATGTATCTTCTCTACTTTTGACATCTTTTGACTATCACTTCCTGCTCGGTCAGCAACTCAGACTGGGCTCACCTGGGTTCCAGCGAAGGCCGAAGGTTCCATCTGCAGAGCATCCTGACTCAGCTTCAGCGTAAGAAGTTTTAGTGGGATAAGACCGTCTGTGGCTGAGAATCCACCGTGTAATTGGCCAACCATTTTCTATGTCAAACCCATTTCAACCCTTCTGTTGATGGTGGCACTTATGACTTATGACCCCATTTAGCCATCAATTAAAGGACCGGATAACCCCACATGTTACCAACTTCTTTAGACTTAGACTGACCATAGAAGAGCAAGAAGGGAAGAGGAAGTATAAGAGTGATGGAGCGGTGATGGTGGGTGAGTTTGTGTGTATGTATGTATGTTCATGTACAGTGAGTGAGTGAGAGTGTGAGTGAGTGATGCGAGTGTGGTGTGTGTGAGTGAGGGATGTGAGAGTGAGTGAAGTGAGTGAAGTGAAGTGAAGTGAAGTGAAGTGAAGTGAAGTGAAGTGAAGTGAAGTGAGTGAGTGGGTGAGTGAGTGAGTGCGGTAGGTGAGGTAGGTGAGGTAGGTGGTGAGGTAGGTGGTGAGGTAGGTGAGGTAGGTGAGGTAGGTGGTGAGGTAGGTGAGGTAGGTGAGGTAGGTGAGGTAGGTGAGGTAGGTGAGTGAGTGAGTGAGTGAATGTGAGTGAATGTGAGCGAGTGTGAGTGAGTGTGAGTGAGTGTGAGTGAGTGTGAGTGAGTGTGAGTGAGTGTGAGTGAGTGTGAAGCCGCCCATTAACGTCCCCACCACCGGCCAACGTGGTGTCGGCTCGACCGAAGCCGAACCGTTTGGTAAGGACGAAGGCATCGACCTCAGTGAAGAAACAGACTTAGACGGAGCACAGAAAGCGAGAAGGGAAGAGGAAGGATAAGAGTGATGGAGGGACGATGGTGGTATGTATGCAGGTAGGTAGGTAGGTAGGTATGTATGTATTTAGGTATCTATGTATGTATGTACGTAGGGTAAGTTGTTTGTGAGTAAGTTGCTTCGCTTTCATCGAGTTCCACCAGGCTCTGATGTTTTTTTCCGACACACTATCAAAACGATGGTGTGCTCACCATACTTCCGCTGACCAAAGTAATGTTCTGCACTCTTTCGAGCGCAGCCGCACATTTTGTGATCTCTTTCTGCATGCCCTGTGGCTGGTAAACATCGCTGGCACATGATGATGATGATGATGATGATGGTGATGATGATGATGATGTATGTGAGTGAGTGAGTGAGGGAGTGAGTGAAGTGAAATGAAATGAAGCGAAGTGAAGTGAAGTGAAGTGAGTGAGTGAGCGGGTGAGTGAGGGAGGGAGGGAGGGAGTGAGGGAGTGAGTGAGTGAGTGAGTGATTGAGTGTGTGTGTGGGTGAGTGGGTGAGTGGGTGAGTGGGTGAGTGGGTGAGTGGGTGAGTGGGTGAGTGGGTGAGTGAGTGAGTGAGTGAGTGAGAGTGAGTGAGTGAGTGAGTGAGGGTTGTATGTTATGCATTGTGTGTTGTGTTTTGTGGGTTGTGTGTTGTTGTGTGTTGTGTGTTATGTGTTGTGGGAAAGGCGCGGTGTGTCGTTGGGAAGGAAGGTTGTCGTTGATGTGCACGGCCTCCCATTAACGTCTCCACCACCGGCCAACGTGGTGTCGGCTCGACCGAAGCCGAACCGTTTGGTAAGGACGAAGGCATCAACCTCAGTGAAGAAACAGGACTGAAGATGAACCTGTTCTTTTCCTTCCATCGGAAATGCCCGGAACTGAACCTACCGGAATCAGAAAGCATCTTCAATAGTGATTTAAATGACCTACAGACCTCACGGTGACCCCGGCTTCCAAGTCCGTTGAAAGCAAAATTCTAAAAAAAAACTCATCATCAAAACTCCCGGAACTGGAGCTGCAGCCCAGAGGCAAGAGCCTGCCTTGGAGTAGTTGCTCACGGAGGTGCTGAGTCAGGCGACGAACCGACCTGCCCCCCGCCAAGGTGGGGGAACCATCCTAGCCGCTAGCCCCTGAGAATATTGTAATAGGAACGGGCAATAGTTACATATAATATATATATATTTGAAATATATAATATATATATATATATTTGAAATATATAATATATATATATTTGAACAGTGTAAGCAAATCGCTAAGGTTGTCAAATCGAAATATTCCATAGCTGTGAGACAATGATTCGACGATATGCACCGCATCACAATACGTGACCAAGTGTGTAATGTCATGGCGAGCCTAACTAAAACTTTTGTCAGTCCCGAGATTGTCCTGCAACAGCTTGACGCGATCACTGCTTGCAGCAGCTGAACCAAAGCGCGCACGGGGACAACCTGGTCGTCCGTCGCGTTTTGGACGGAGGTGGATACCCTCGCAGACAGATAGCCAGTCACACGTCTCGTGTGTGTACATGTTGAGTTTGTCTGCTGATAGGTGGGAACCACATGACACCACCGCCAGCCACTGTAACGCGTCCATCTGTTTCGCCTAGGCAGTGGCGAGGTGTTTCTCCTGGCTTCAAAACAGCAAGGTAGCTGTTGTTCTCCTGAGTGAGTGTGAGTGAGTGAGTGTGTGAGTGAGAGTGAGTGAGGAGTGAGTGAGAGTGAGTGAGGAGTGAGTGAGAGTGAGTGTGAGTGAGGAGTGAGTGAGTGTGAGTGAGTGTGAGTGAGTGTGAGTGATGGTTTTCTCCAGAGCTTCTATGAGCTTCTCCCATCTTCCTGGTGGCCCCAGGCTGCCTTTGGCCGGTGGATAGTCGGGCGTCCAAGTCGCACCCTCCTCCCAATATGCATTGGCCTGGACAAAAGAACTGGCTTGAAGGCCAAAAATGCCAGCAAAAACATGACAGGGAGACGCAAGCTATCTATGTAACAATCTATTTATCTATCTACCTATCTATCTATGCATCCATCCATACATCCATCCATCTATGTCTCTATCTCTCCATCCATCCATCTATCTATGTCTCTCTCCCTATCTCTCTCTCTCGCTCTCTCTCTCTCTCTCTCTTTCTCTCTCTCCCTATCTCTCTATCTATCTTTCTATCGATCGATCGATCTATCTGTCTATCTATCCATGCATCCATCCATCAATCAATCCATCTATCTATTTCTCTCTCTCTCTGTCTCTCTATCTATCTATCAGACCTGTCTATCTATCTATCTATCTATCTGTCTATCTGTCCTTACATCAGGATATATCTATCTATCTACCAGTCAATCTATCTATCTATCCATCGATCGATCTCTCTGGCTATCTATCCATCTATCTATCGCTCTATCTAGCAATCTATCTGTTCAATCTATCCATCAACAATCCATCCATCCTGCATGAGTGAGTGAGTGAGTGAGTAAGTGAGTGAGTGAGTGAGTTAGTGAGTGAGTGAGTGAGTGAGTGAGTGAGTAAGTACATGTTCCACGCCTGCCAGGGCGTATATCTGACCCCTTGGCAGTGCACATTGTCTTACGCCTGCCACGCAAAAGCGGCGGAGGCCCATGCCTGCCACGCAAAAGACGCGGAGCCCCAAGGGACGTTGGGGCGTACATCCGACCCCTTGGCAGTGCACATTGTCCCACGCCTGCCACGCAAAAGACGCGGAGCCCGAGGGACGCCAGGGCGTACATCCGACCCCTTGGCAGAGCACATTGTCCCACGCCTGCCACGCAAAAGACGCGGAGCCCGAGGGACGCCAGGGCGTACATCCGACCCCTTGGCTGCTCACATTGTCACACGCCTGCCACGCAAAAGACGCGGAGCCCGAGGGACGCCAGGGCGTACATCCGACCCCTTGGCTGCTCACATTGTCCCACGCCTGCCACGCAAAAGACGCGGAGCCCGAGGGACGCCAGGGCGTACATCCGACCCTTGGCAGTGCACATTGTCCCACGCCTGCCACGCAAAAGAGGCGGAGCCCGAGGGACGCCAGGGCGTACATCCGACCCCTTGGCAGTGCACATTGTCCCACGCCTGCCACGCAAAAGAGGCGGAGCCCGAGGGACGCCAGGGCGTACATCCGACCCCTTGGCAGTGCACAGGGTCCCACGCCTGCCACGCAAAAGAAGCGGAGCCCGAGGGACGCCAGGGCGTACATCCGACCCCTTGGCAGTGCACATTGTGCCACGCCTGCCACGCAAAAGAGGCGGAGCCCGAGGGACGCCAGGGCGTACATCCGACCCCTTGGCAGTGCACATTGTCCCACGCCTGCCACGCAAAAAAGCGGAGCCCGAGGGACGCCAGGGCGTACATCCGACCCCTTGGCTGCTCACATTGTCCCACGCCGGCCACGCAAAAGCGGCGGAGCCCGAGGGACGCCAGGCCTTACATTCAGACCCCTGGAGGCTCACATTGTCGCAAGCCTGCCACGCAAAAGACGCGGGAGCCGAGGGACGCCAGGCGTAACATCCGAACCATTGGCAGTTGCACATTGTTCCCACGCCGGCCAGCAAAAGACGCGGAGGCCCGGGGACGCCAGGGCGTACCGTCCGACCCCTGCTCACATTGTCCCACGCCTGCCACGCAAAAAGACACGGAGCCCGAGGGACGCCAGGGCGTACATCCGACCCCTTGGCAGTGCACATTGTCCCACGCCTGCCACGCAAAAGACGCGGAGCCCGAGGGACGCCAGGGCGTACATCCGACCCCTTGGCCAAAAGACGCGGAGCCCGAGGGACGCCAGGGCTTACATCCGACCCCTTGGCTGCTCACATTGTCCCACGCCTGCCACGCAAAAGACGCGGAGCCCGAGGGACGCCAGGGCGTACATCCGACCCCTTGGCTGCTCACATTGTCCCACGCCTGCCACGCAAAAAGACGCGGAGCCCGAGGGACGCCAGGGCGTACATCCGACCCCTTGGCAGTGCACATTGTCCCACGCCTGCCACGCAAAAGACGCGGAGCCCGAGGGACGCCAGGGCGTACATCCGACCCCTTGGCAGTGCACATTGTCTCACGCCTGCCACGCAAAAGACGCGGAGGAGTGAGTGAGTGTCTGTGTGTGTGTGTGAGTGAGTGAGTGAGTGAGTGAGGGAGTGAGTGAGTGAGGGAGTGAGTGAGTGAGAGTGAGTGAGTGAGTGAGCGTGTGTGTGTGTGAGTGAGTGGGTGTGAGTGAGTGAGTGTGAGTGAGTGTGAGTGAGTGAGAGTGAGTGAGTGAGTGTGTGTGTGTGTGAGTGAGTGAGTGTGAGTGAGTGAGTGTGAGTGAGTGTGAGTGAGTGAGTGAGAGTGAGTGAGAGTGTGTGTGTGTGTGAGTGACAGTGAGTGAGTGTGAGTGAGTGAGTGTGAGTGAGTGAGTGAGTGAGGGAGTGAGTGAGTGAGTGATGGAGTGAGTGAGTGAGTGAGAGTGAGTGAGTGTGTGTGTGTGTGAGTGAGTGAGTGAGTGTGAGTGAGTGAGTGAGAGTGAGTGAGTGAGTGAGAGTGAGTGAGAGTGAGTGAGTGGTGAGTGAGTGTGAGTGAGTGAGTGTGTGTGAGTGAGGAGGGTGTGTGTGTGTGAGTGAGTGAGTGTGAGTGAGTGAGTGAGAGTGAGTGAGTGTGTGTGTGTGAGTGAGTGAGTGTGAGTGAGTGAGTGTGAGTGAGTGAGTGTGTGTGAGTGAGGAGGGAGGACGGGAAGGAGGACGAGGAGCGGATACAGAACTAAAAACAAAAACACCACACGTCAATGTGGGGAACAACCATGACTTATGACCCCATTTAGCCATCAACAACCAACGAAAAGAACGGGGCATCTGGGAAATCCTCTGCAACTTCTGGTGCTTGCATCCGCGCTGGATTTTCTCTTTCCACCTCTCCGGACACAAAAGGAGTGCTGGCTGCTGCTTACTCGAAAAATGGGAAGTTCCATAGGGATTTGCACATCGATTTCAAACATCCTGCAACGACTATAGCCATCTACATGGTACACACAGCCATGACGTAGCGACAAAGGTACAGGTTCCGAAGCCTCTTTCACGCCAGGACAAGTCTCAGCACCTTCTTCTGGCTGCACCTGCACCATGATAAATTTCAGGGACCAATCTCCAAAAGGATCCAAGTTTCACAGTGGCTTCCAGATCGAACACACATTGCCCATGTCATTTTGCTAGGATCGAAATGCGCCAAAGAAACTTTGAGGCATGAAAGACATTTCAAAAATCCAAAGATTGTCATGTTTGAAAATCTGTCCCCCGTATTGTGCCTCCACTCGTGCACCCTCGAAAGCAGCTTCCCAACTTGCCTGAAATCACTTTCAAAATCATTGATGATTCATGCTACTGTGCTAAGTCGCCCTTGGCCATGCAGTTGGGAGATGTCCAATCTGTGAACCAAACACATGAAATCAATTCCACCATCTTCAAACCAATCATCTAAGCTTTTCGAAGCTACAAGATCTGGTCGTGTAAAGAAATTTCAAAAAGAAACCTGCATTGTTTTTGGCCTCTGCCTCTTTTGGTTCTGTCTGCATCATCGGAGCATGCACCTGTCGAACTGGATGGGAAGGATACAGTACATGGTCGAAATGATGTTGAACAGTTTCAAAGGAAAGCGACAGCCCACATCACTTTCACGTGGATTTGTCATTTTGAGACAAGTTCGATACACTTGTTCAAAAACAACCAAAGCTTCGAAACTGTTCAAAACTATTGCCTGCGAAGCCTCCTTTTCAGCAGGTGGCGAAGTCTTGCAAAGATCTTCAGTTGGCAACTCCTGCATTTGCACATCGAGATACTCATCCTCAGATAAACCAAAGTGTTGACTCAGGTCTTCTATGAGATGTATCCAAGAGAGCAGCGCATCCTTTCTCCAAATCCAGATAGAAAAAACATTTTGAGTGTTGGAGGCATGAGAGGCATTTGTCAATGCATCCCCTGCTGAGCCTCAACTCGCATGCCATGCAAAGCAGCCTCTTGGAATGCCTGAAATCACTTTCAAGATCTTTGATGATTCATGCCACTGTGCTAAGTCGCCCTTGTCCATGCAGTTGGGAGATGTCCAATCTGTGAACCAAACACATGAAATCAATTCCAGCATCTTCAAACCAATCATCTAAGCTTTTCGAAGCTACAAGATCTGGTCGTGTAAAGAAATTTCAAAAAGAAACCTGCATTGTTTTTGGCCTCTGCCTCTTTTGGCTCTGTCTGCATCATCGGAGCATGCACCTGTCGAACTGGATGGGAAGGATACAGTACATGGTCAAAATGATGTTGATCACTTTCAAAGGATAGCGACAGCCCACATCACTTTCACGTGGATTTGTCATTTTGAGACAAGTTCGATACACTTGTTCAAAAACAACCAGTGCTTCGAAACTGTTCAAAACTATTGCCTGCGAAGCCTCCTTTTCAGCAGGTGGCGAAGTCTTGCAAAGATCTTCAGTTGGCAACTCCTGCATTTGCACATCGAGATACTCATCCTCAGATAAATCAAAGTGTTGACTCAGGTCTTCTATGGGATGTATCCAAGAGAGCAGCGCATCCTTTCTCCAAATCCAGATAGAAAAAACATTTTGAGTGTTGGAGGCATGAGAGGCATTTGTCAATGCATCCCCTGCTGAGCCTCAACTCGCATGCCATGCAAAGCAGCCTCTTGGAATGCCTGAAATCACTTTCAAGATCTTTGATGATTCATGCTACTGTGCTAAGTCGCCCTTGGCCATGCAGTTGGGAGATGTTCAATCTGTGAACCAAACACATGACATCAATTCCATCATCTTCAAACCAATCATATAAGCTTTTCGAAGCTACAAGATCTGATCGTGTAACGAAATTTCAAAAAGAAACCTTCATTGTTTTTGGCCTCTACCTCCTTTGGTACTTCTGTCTGCACCATCGGAGCATGCACCTGTCGAACTGGATGGGAAGGATACAGTACATGGTCGAAATCATGTTGAACAGTTTCAAAGGATAGCGACAGCCCACATCACTTTCACGTGGATTTGTCATTCTGAGACAAGTTCGATACACTTGTTCAAAGACAACCAGTGGTCCAAAACTGTTCAAAACTATTGCCTGCGAAGCCTCCTTTTCAGCAGGTGGCGAAGTCTTGCAAAGATCTTCAGTCGGCAACTCCTGCATTTGCACACCGAGATACTTCTTGTAAATTAGACCAAAGCGTTGACTCAGGACTTCTATGGGATGTATCCAAGAGAGCAGCGCATCCTTTCTCCAAATCCAGATAGAAAAAACATTTTGAGTGTTGGAGGCATGTGAGGTATTTGTCAATGCATCCCCTGCTGAGCCTCAACTCGCGTGCCATGCAAGGCAGCCTCTTGGACTGCCTGAAATCACTTTCAAGATCTTTGATGATTCATGCCACTGTGCTAAGTCGCCCTTGTCCATGCAGTTGGGAGATGTCCAATCTGTGAACCAAACACATGAAATCAATTCCATCATCTTCAAACCAATCATCTAAGCTTTTCGAAGCTACAAGATCTGATCGTGTAACGAAATTTCAAAAGAAACCTGCATTGTTTTTGGCCTCTGCCTCCTTTGGCACTTCTGGCTGCACCACCGGAGCATTAACCTATCGAACTGGATGGGAAGGATACAGTACATGGTCGAAATGATGTTGAACAGTTTCAAAGGATAGCGACAGCCCACATCACTTTCACGTGGATTTGTCATTCTGAGACAAGTTCGATACACTTGTTCAAAAACAACCAATGCTTCGAAACTGTTCAAAACTATTGCCTGCGAAGCCTCCTTTTCAGCAGGTGGCGAAGTCTTGCAAAGATCTTCAGTCGGCAACTCCTGCATTTGCACACCGAGATACTTCTTGTAAATTAGACCAAAGTGTTGACTCAGGACTTCTATGGGATGTATCCAAGAGAGCAGCGCATCCTTTCTCCAAATCCAGATAGAAAAAACATTTTGAGTGTTGGAGGCATGAGAGGTATTTGTCAATGCATCCCCTGCTGAGCCTCAACTTGCATGCCATGCAAAGCAGCCTCTTGGACTGCCTGAAATCACTTTCAAGATCTTTGATGATTCATGCTACTGTGCTAAGTCGCCCTTGGCCATGCAGTTGGGAGATGTTCAATCTGTGAACCAAACACATGACATCAATTCCATCATCTTCAAACCAATCATATAAGCTTTTCGAAGCTACAAGATCTGATCGCGTAACGAAATTTCAAAAAGAAACCTTCATTGTTTTTGGCCTCTACCTCCTTTGGTACTTCTGTCTGCACCATCGGAGCATGCACCTGTCGAACTGGATGGGAAGGATACAGTACATGGTCGAAATCATGTTGAACAGTTTCAAAGGATAGCGACAGCCCCCATCACTTTCACGTGGATTTGTCATTCTGAGACAAGTTCGATACACTTGTTCAAAGACAACCAGTGGTCCAAAACTGTTCAAAACTATTGCCTGCGAAGCCTCCTTTTCAGCAGGTGGCGAAGTCTTGCACAGATCTTCAGTCGGCAACTCCTGCATTTGCACACCGAGATACTTCTTGTAAAATAGACCAAAGTGTTGACTCAGGACTTCTATGGGATGTATCCAAGAGAGCAGCGCATCCTTTCTCCAAATCCAGATAGAAAAAACATTTTGAGTGTTGGAGGCATGAGAGGTATTTGTCAATGCATCCCCTGCTGAGCCTCAACTTGCATGCCATGCAAAGCAGCCTCTTGGACTGCCTGAAATCACTTTCAAGATCTTTGATGATTCATGCCACTGTGCTAAGTCGCCCTTGGCCATGCAGTTGGGAGATGTTCAATCTGTGAACCAAACACATGAAATCAATTCCATCATCTTCAAACCAATCATCTAAGCTTTTCGAAGCTACAAGATCTGGTCGTGTAACGAAATTTCAAAAAGAAACCTTCATTGTTTTTGGCCTCTACCTCCTTTGGTACTTCTGTCTGCACCATCGGAGCATGCACCTGTCGAACTGGATGGGAAGGATACAGTACATGGTCGAAATCATGTTGAACAGTTTCAAAGGATACCGACAGCCCACATCACTTTCACGTGGATTTGTCATTCTGAGACAAGTTCGATACACTTGTTCAAAGACAACCAGTGGTCCAAAACTGTTCAAAACTATTGCCTGCGAAGCCTCCTTTTCAGCAGGTGGCGAAGTCTTGCAAAGATCTTCAGTCGGCAACTCCTGCATTTGCACACCGAGATACTTCTTGTAAAATAGACCAAAGCGTTGACTCAGGACTTCTATGGGATTTATCCAAGAGAGCAGTGCATCCTTTCTCCAAATCCAGATAAAAAACATTTTGAGTGTTGGAGGCATGTGAGGTATTTGTCAATGCATCCCCTGCTGAGCCTCAACTCGCGTGCCATGCAAAGCAGCCTCTTGGACTGCCTGAAATCACTTTCAAGATCTTTGATGATTCATGCTACTGTGCTAAGTCGCCCTTGGCCATGCAGTTGGGAGATGTTCAATCTGTGAACCAAACACATGAAATCAGTTCCATCATCTTCAAACCAATCATCTAAGCTTTTCGAAGCTACAAGATCTGGTCGTGGAACGAAATTTCAAAAAGAAACCTTCATTGTTTTTGGCCTCTACCTCCTTTGGTACTTCTGTCTGCACCATCGGAGCATGCACCTGCCGAACTGGATGGGAAGGATACAGTACATGGTCGAAGTCATGTTGAACAGTTTCAAAAGATAGCGACAGCCCACATCACTTTCACGTGGATTTGTCATTCTGAGACAAGTTCGATACACTTGTTCAAAGACAACCAGTGGTCCAAAACTGTTCAAAACTATTGCCTGCGAAGCCTCCTTTTCAGCAGGTGGCGAAGTCTTGCAAAGATCTTCAGTCGGCAACTCCTGCATTTGCACACCGAGATACTTCTTGTAAAATAGACCAAAGTGTTGACTCAGGACTTCTATGGGATGTATCCAAGAGAGCAGCGCATCCTTTCTCCAAATCCAGATAGAAAAAACATTTTGAGTGTTGGAGGCATGTGAGGTATTTGTCAATGCATCCCCTGCTGAGCCTCAACTCGCGTGCCATGCAAAGCAGCCTCTTGGACTGCCTGAAATCACTTTCAAGATCTTTGATGATTCATGCTACTGTGCTAAGTCGCCCTTGGCCATGCAGTTGGGAGATGTTCAATCTGTGAACCAAACACATGAAATCAATTCCATCATCTTCAAACCAATCATCTAAGCTTTTCGAAGCTACAAGATCTGATCGTGTAACGAAATTTCAAAAGAAACCTGCATTGTTTTTGGCCTCTGCCTCCTTTGGCACTTCTGGCTGCACCACCGGAGCATTAACCTATCGAACTGGATGGGAAGGATACAGTACATGGTCGAAATCATGTTGAACAGTTTCAAAGGATAGCGACAGCCCACATCACTTTCACGTGGATTTGTCATTCTGAGACAAGTTCGATACACTTGTTCAAAGACAACCAGTGGTTCAAAACTGTTCAAAACTATTGCATGCGAAGCCTCCTTTTCAGCAGGTGGCGAAGTCTTGCAAAGATCTTCAGTCGGCAACTCCTGCATTTGCACACCGAGATACTTCTTGTAAAATAGACCAAAGTGTTGACTCAGGACTTCTATGGGATGTATCCAAGAGAGCAGCGCATCCTTTCTCCAAATCCAGATAGAAAAAACATTTTGAGTGTTGGAGGCATGTGAGGTATTTGTCAATGCATCCCCTGCTGAGCCTCAACTCGCGTGCCATGCAAAGCAGCCTCTTGGACTGCCTGAAATCACTTTCAAGATCTTTGATGATTCATGCTACTGTGCTAAGTCGCCCTTGGCCATGCAGTTGGGAGATGTTCAATCTGTGAACCAAACACATGAAATCAATTCCATCATCTTCAAACCAATCATCTAAGCTTTTCGAAGCTACAAGATCTGGTCGTGTAAAGAAATTTCAAAAAGAAACCTGCATTGTTTTTGGCCTCTGCCTCTTTTGGT